ATTTGCTACGTTTTTAAATACAACGCTATTCATTGCTTTATAAGGTCGTCCTTTTTTTGTTTAAAATTATCAATTTACTGATTATAAACTAAATATGGTGACAGAGGGCGTATACTTAGGTAGGTGGAGCAGATCAAGGTCTAAGAGATGGCGATAGAAGTGTCTGGTCTATTCAAGGGAGCACGGGAGCAACTGTAGATATGTACATGTGGTACGTGGCCTCTAAGGAGCTTGGCAGGCACGTGCAAAGGAGCACGTGCTAGGCCACGTGAGGAGCACGTGAGGCAAGGACCACACTGTGCAACACACTCCCCAGTTGCGAAGCGACTGCTCAACTGACAAAGGCTCGCCCAAAGAAAGAGGGAAAAAACAAACGAAAAAACCCAAGGAAAAATCTAGCCAAAAGATGAACGGAGCTTATAAGCTCCTAAACAAAGGGCAGACGAAATAGGAGCACGCTAGCGCTAGTAAGCTGCAACGAGCCTCCTCCAAAGTGGCAACAGCCAATAGTCCTCAAGGCAAGGTGCAAGGTGGGTCCGCCTGCCGTCGCAAAGACTCGCCAACTTAAACCTCCACCCCCCAGGAGCGACTCAAATAAAGGAACTTGTAGTTGAGGCAGGCGTCCCAATTTCCTCACACTACACCTCCCCCTCGCAAGCTCCAACACGTCTGGTTTTAAGCTTCAATAAGCCTCTAGCAGCGCAAGGCTACGGCCCAATCCACTCTTTCGGCGTGCGCGAGCGGCTCCAATATCCTTCAGCGACCTCCTCTTAGGTGGCCTTTCTTAGGCAGTTATACGTCCAGGGTATTTGAGGCCTGTCCTCGCTAGCAGAGCTCCATTTTTCCTCCATTGGCGTTCCAAGCTCGTTTCCTTCCTTCTAGTATTCTCTTTGTATGCAAACTCCTCTTTGACGTCCTGGCGCACCGCACCCCCTAGTATTGAGCGATCCTCTCGAGTAGCTGGAGGTTTGATCGAAGTAAAGGAAGCGGTCTTAAAAAGGGCGTAAGGCTGATCGAAGGATAAGTCGAGAATGAGGTAAAATAAGGATCGAGGTAAAATGAGGACCGAAGACTCTTACTAGAACGCTCCGAGCGTCAGAAGGGAGAACAGCTTCTACCGACCGAAAAGAAAGAAGACGATAATCTTGCAACCACCGATAAGGCGATCTGTCCCGTATTGATAATAATTAAAGGAGCTCGTAGAGGCGTGTGGCTCTTAACTATGGTGACAGAGGGCGTATACCTAGGTAGGTGGAGCAGATCAAGGTCTAAGAGATGGCGATAGAAGTGTCTGGTCTATTCAGGGGAGCACGGGAGCAACTGTAGATATGTACATGTGGTACGTGGCCTCTAAGGAGCTTGGCAGGCACGTGCAAGGGAGCACGTGCTAGGCCACGTGAGGAGCACGTGAGGCAAGGACCACACTGTGCAACACTAAATTATCGCGATTAATTCTTTTTATTAATACTTTTAAATAGCTTTTTTACTAAACGAACCTTTGCTTTCGGACCGACCTTTTTCTACCGATATATTAAGCACTACGGCTAAAAGAGATAACGCAAGCCAAGATAAGTTAATTAATAAAGCAATTGAAAATCAAGCGATTAAAGGTCAAGCGGCTAAAGGTCAAGCGGCTGAAAGTCAAGCGGCTGGAGGTCAAGTAGATAAGGACGAAGCATAAAAAAGTGAAGCAAATACAATACGCGGCGAAAGCGTAGAAAAAGAAAATTTAAATTTGCAAAGTAAATAAAGTAAGTTTATATTTGATTAATCGAAGTATTACTAATACTTTTTTAATTACTTTACTTAACGCAAATCCTTATCTTTAGTCTAGCTAGGCTGCTCCATGGGGCCCCATGGGGCCCCATGGAAATTCGAGTCCTCCCCACGGGGAAACCCACGGGGGGTACAAAAATCGGCCTTCCCCATGGGGTTTCCCCATGGGGGGTGGGGTTTCCCCATGGGGTTTTTCTATATATATATATTCATATCACGTGGCTTCGCTTAATAGCTTAAGCGCTAAGAAGTTTACTAAACACGTGCAAAGGAGCACGTGCAAGGCTAGACTGCATAATAGATTTACTAATCGATTTATTAATCATATTTACTAATCACATTTACTAATCATATTTACTAATCACGTTTACTAATTATATTTATTAATCACATTTACTAATCATATTTACTAATCGATTTACTAATCACATTTACTAATCATATTTACTAATCGATTTACTAAT